AGACACACACCCAGGAATGGTTCCTGCTCATTATCACCCCCGGTGTCTGGGCTTGGCTTGTTGGGTGTTTTTTTCCCTGCAAGAAATGTGGGACGGGAAATCAGAGTCAGATCCGTTCCAGGAGGGCAGGGGCTTCTCCCCATGCTAAGAGCAGCACTTTTGGGTCAGAAATCCTGACATGCTGCTGCTGCTGCTGCTGCAGATGAGCAGTGGTACCCCAGAGCCTGCGGGGACTCTGTTGTGATGGAGAGGCACCACGGGAGAGGTAAACTCTGGCCTGCCTGAGCTCACCACAGGCCAGATCTGGGCTGGGAGAACAAAGGCCTTTCTTTGAACAGCATCTCTCATCTCAAATTAGCATTGCAAATAGGGCCAGGCAAGCTGAGAAACACATGGGAAAGCATAAGGACAGGGAGCTCTCACGCCTGGGGGGCTGAGCAGCAGTGAGGGGTGAGCAGAAACATCCTCCTCCCTCCACACCACACCCCTGGGCTTGGGTCATTGCTGGCGGCAGGGTACCAGGCTGGCTGCATTTACAGCCTCAATTGGCCACGCTGAATCCTCCTGTGAGGTGAGATGGGCTTGGAAGTTATCCATCAATCCTCTGAAAGCCCCTCTGTGATGGCCCTTTGTCCTGTCCCTCCCCAGGATCTCCTTTCACGGCTCGGCTCTGTTTGCATTTCTAAAGCAGACGCCAGATTTAAAAAAAAAAAAAAAAACCACAATAGCGGTTCTAACTGTTTCATCTGCTCTGAGACACCCCACCGTGTGGTGGCAGATTTCTGAGAGGTGCTGTGCCCTTCCCTCAGCAAAGCTTCATCCCTGTGGCTAAGCAATCCCATCCAGCCTCCCCGAGCTCCAGGCAAGGAGCAGGTGCTGAGGGATCATCTTCCCTGCCCAGTGTCCCCAGGAGGAGACACCAAGCTCTCACCCTTCTTTTTTTTTTTTTTTTCAAGCCTGGTAGTGGAATCTGTGGGAATTTTAGGCTTTCCCCCCTAACTGCCAAAGTTAGGGGAGTTTGTGTTCACGCCCCACAGCCCCGATTGCACCCACAGCGCCCAACTCAGGGCTCACCCCCCTGATTCCGGTGCCACCCAGGCAGAGAGCTCATTTTTAAGACTCCTCTTTTCTTGTTTCTTGGAGGTCAGGTTGCCAAACTTTTCCAGGACTCGAGTCTGGGCAATATTGTCAACATCCTGGTGACCAGGCTGATTCTCCTCACCGAGGATCAGGTAAGATGGGCTTTGTTGGGCCATTTCCATCACATATCTGCACTTCCTTTGGGGGTCTGTGTGTTGCCCTTGGATTTCACCCCCAGGAAATGCCCCCTGTGCAGTCTGTTGGCTGCTCCACATCCCCCTAAAGGCACCTGGGGGCTGGGTTCAGGCTGTGGGCTGAGGAGACCTCAGGGACTCTGAGGATATTTTCTATGATAAGGTGACTTTAGGGAAGTTTAAGTAGCTTTAGTCCTCCTGAAGTCACATTTTTCTTGCTTTCCATGAAAAGTGGAGGCATCTGGACTGGTGTCAGTGCTCTGCTGGCATGGGACAGGCAGTGCCTTCGCATCACAGCTTTCCTGGGAACACACACTGTCATGTTGCTTCCATTCCAGCCCACGCTGGAGATCAACCACCACGCTGGGAAATCCCTGGACAGCTTCTGCAAGTGGCAGAAATCCATAGTGAACAGGAATGGCAACGGGAACGCAATCCCTGAGAACGGCATAGCCAACCACGACACCGCAGTGCTGATCACCAGGTGAGGCTGAGCCCTAGCCCACCCCCAGCAGGGGGGTCCATGCTGTCCTCTCTGGGGCTGTTCTCTGTGCATCTATCTGTTCTCTGTGCATCTGTCTGTCCTCTGCCTCTGTCCAGATGGGTCATCCAAGGCTTCCACCCCCCACGAACAGCCTGCCAGTGGCCGTCCCTCAGTCTGGCCATGTGCTAATTCCCTCACAGGGATGCAGATTATTGCAGTTCACATAGTTAGCATCTTCCACTTCAGTTAGTTCTGATCCTCCAGCATCTTCCCTCTGTCTTTGCTGGGCTCTCAGGGAACTTAGTTTGCAGCCACGGGCATTTGTGCACCAGAAGGCAATGGCATGGGGCTGTTGGGCACCACCAGAGCCCACCCTGGAGTTGTGGAGCACTGGGCATCTTGGAGAGCCCCTGTCTGCCCCTGCTGTGAAGGGTGAAAAGGATCCAAGTGGGACCTGAGCACTGTGACGGTGGCAGTGCTCCAGCCAGCACAGGATTTGGCTCATCTTATTTTAGGTGACTACGTGTAGGGCTGAACTCCCTCCTCAGTGGACACCCTTGGGGTAGTTACTTCATCCCAACTCCCTCAGGACTGCTGCCTGTGCCCCTGTGCTCCTGGAACAACTGCTGAGGTCAGCAGCACGATTTGGATAGTGGATTAGACCTCGGGAGCTGCAAGGAGGGCGTCTGAACCTTCATGTGATGAAGGGCATGTGGAGAAAAAATAACCCCCGCCAGGACAGATGGGAACTTGATCCTGGAGCAGCAGAGGGTGGCAGGAGGGACAGCTGGAAGGAGGGATGAGTGCTCAGAAGGTGGGAAGAGGAAGAGATGATGACAAGGAGAGTGGAAGAAAGAGCAGAGCATCTGGAAGGACATCTGGAGGGTGGAGGGGAAAAGGGCACTGAGAGGCTGCTCTTGGCAGTGTTGCTGCTGTGTCCAGGACTGTCCAGTGCCCACACAAACCCTGCTTGGGCAGAGGGGAACCATCCTGAGGAGAGGCCAAAGGCAAGCCCAGGGGTTTGGTTGTGCCTTTTTCCCCCCCTCTTTTGTGGAGTGGAAGAAAAGAATGAGATGGAAGTGCTGGAAAGGGGAGCCTCCAGGTGGGAGCCGCTTTCCTTGTCCACGAGCTGCTCTCCTGCTCCAATTCCCGGTGGCACTGAGAGCCTGGAACATCCCTCCTGGGGAGCTCATGGGATGAGAGCCCACAAGCATCAGCCCGGGAGCAAGAAAAAGGCTCCTGGGCCTCAGATTTTCCCTTTCCCGGAGCTGCAATTCCACTTTTTCCTCCCCTCCTACCGCACGTTGGATGCAAACTCCGGCTCCGAGTTTTTTCGCCCTCCCACCACCAGATGTTTGAGCCAACCCAGAGCGAGTGGCTGGGCTGGGGCAGCACCGGCACATCCCTAATAAATTCCCTGTCTCTGATAACATCTTGCTGAGCTCCGGGCTTTTTTTTTTTTTTTTTTTCGGGGCCTTTTTTT